AATATATAATATCCCCACCAATGTTGTTCCATTTGTTTTGTTTTGGTTGTTTGCTTTATTTATTTATTTATTTATTTATTATTATCATTATTATTATTATTATTTGATGAAGGATAGAATGTCAGTAAATTAGATTAAAGCAACTGCCTGGGTGTCAGACAATTTTTATTTATTTATTTATAATAAACTCAAACCCTAAACTTCCCAGTAAAAATTTGAAATTAGTACTCTACTTTTTTATCTTCATTGCCTCATGAGTGCTTTGTTTATTGTCATCATGTTTTGAGACTGTTTATTGGCTTTTTTTTTGAAAATTTATGTTGAGTGTTTGGTGCATTTATTATAATAGTTTATATAAACAAAAACACCTTACTAATGAAAGTAAGAAAACAAGTATTTTGAACTTTTACTTTTCTTTTTTCTTAATATTAGTCTTCAACCAAGAAATTACACTCAACAATCCTCTATAGTCGATGTAGACTTGCTTGGACATGGCTGAATTGAATTTGGTTGTACACACACAAGTTGTATTGCATTGCATGTTGTTATCGGGCTTTGTTAATCAATACATGATCCCATTTCTCACTGTAGACGTATAGTAATATAAGATTTATATTAATAATAATACATGGGAAATTTTTAGTATTTTTTTTTTTTTTTAAAGAATGTTAGACAATTTGAAAAAATAACAGAGAAAGTGTTCCAAAAATAGAATATACGGACCAAATTCATTCTAAATATAATGTATACTTTGTTTTTATTACTATTTATACAAATTATTATTTTTATTTTTTAAATTTTGAACTCCCTTGGTTTTTTCCTTTCTCTTACAAAGAGAATAAATGTACATTTGGCACTTGGGATATTAATGTGAAGGGGTAATTTGTCATTTCACCATTCACTCTGAGCGAGCATTTAACTAGTTGTTAGGTAGTTGAACAAATATAAATATGAGATCCAACAACTTCATGCTTAGAATCTCGTAGCTGTACAACCCACTTGATCAATATAGACAATAATAGGCATTGGAGTGTAACTTTAATCAGACGAGTGTGGTCCTAAAATAAAACTCCTCATTTATCATCAATTTTTTTCTTCTTTATTATTATTATTATTTTTTTACACAAGATTGCGGTTAGTATGTTACGTTTCGTCTTTTTGGGTGGTTTTTTGGTATTTAGTATAATGAAAAATAAAAAATAATAGAAAATATTTTTATGGACAACAAAACTTAACTTATTTTGATAGAAAAATATTTTTTACTTTTAAAGGACAAAAAATATTTTTTGAACTAAAGCCTTACCAATATCACCATACTAACACCGTCACTCTCATCTTCACCACCATACCACCATCACAATCACCATGGCTACCGCCACCATCACCATTTCCATCAATGCTGCTACTGTCACCACCTCTACCTCCATTTTCATCCCACCACCACCACTGTCACCATAAATATTCTAAAAAAAAAAAATTCCGTAACAAATATTTTTCATCTAAACAAATGGAGCATTAAGAGCATCTCCACCCAAATCTTTAAATTTTGATAGTATGTCATTTTTTTTTTAAATGTTTAGGTGGCATATTGGCATATGTCAATTTGACATGGAAACTCTCCACTCAATATATCAAATCTATTATTATATTATTTTTAAATTTTGAATTCTTTTATTTCACATGGAAACTTTTTTATTTCAAAAAAATGCTTAACAAAACTTAACTTATTTTGATAGAAAAATATTTTTTACTTTTAAGGACAGAAAATATTTTTTGAACTAAAACCTTACCAATATCACCACACTAACACCGTCACTCTCATCTTCACCACCATACCACCATCACAATCACCATGGCTATCGCCACCATCACCATTTCCATCAATGCTGCTACTGTCACCACCTCTACCTCCATTTTCATCCCACCACCACCACTGTCACCATAAATATTCTAAAAAAAAAAAATTCCGTAACAAATATTTTTCATCTAAACAAATGGAGCATTAAGAGCATCTCCACCCAAATCTTTAAATTTTGATAGTATGTCATTTTTTTTTTAAATGTTTAGGTGGCATATTGGCATATGTCAATTTGACATGGAAACTCTCCACTCAATATATCAAATCTATTATTATATTATTTTTAAATTTTGAATTCTTTTATTTCACATGGAAACTTTTTTATTTCAAAAAAATGCTTAAAGTAGGAATATGTCAAAATTAGTATAAAGGGGTGATACCAAATGCCACATCAGCTTTTGACACACCAAGTGGAGTTAATATTTGATGGCAAAATAGGGCTATTAAATTGTCACATCATATTTAAAGTATCATATGAAGGTGGTGTAATAGTTAAATTATAATATAGATCAACGTCTCTCCACCAACTTAAACTTAAAATCACATTAACCTTAACACTTAAGTATCCCTCCATAACCATTAACAGAATTGTCCTGGATCTTCCATTATTTATCATCTTATTATTACCCTTACTCTCAATAAATTGGCCCATTAATGAACTTATAGCATATGTCTTTGTTAGATCTACTCCTCGTCACAGTTTGGCATTCAAGGTTGGGTTGGTGTTCATTGACTCATTAATGCCGATAGCTCACGTGAAATTCCATTTAGAAAAGAATTACGTATTCATTTATTGGAACTTTGTAAGCCATATATCCATTGAAAAATGATATTTTTATAATATTTTCATACAAAATGTAATATTAAAATTCTATAATAATTGTTGTGAGACCTTTCACGTAAATTGTTAAAGAGATCTAACAAAGAAATAAGTTTTACCTTGTAGATCTGCAAAGATAAAAAAAAGTTGATGCTACCCAACTGAGATTGTCGGCTGAAACACTCTGATGATAGAGTTAGTTCTCGTTTATGAAAGAGAAACAAAATAATATGAAATGAATAGTGTGGTGTAAGCTGGGAATCAAGCATACCTATTTTCTCTAGTGATCCTTTCCTTTTATGTAGCTGGGTGTGGTTTGCCCTAAATATTTGCTTAATGGGCTTTTTTATTTGGGTTGAGCCCATCGGTAAGACTAGTTTGGGTTATCCCAATAACTTAGAATTTTTGTAGGTTACTGCAGTTGTATTTTTAAAAATGTAAATCACTTTAAAATAATTTTATTTAAATATAATTAAATTAAAATTTATCACATTATTTGTGTATTAATTTTATGTAGTATAATTTTTATTATTTGAGTAACCACTACTCAAATCTATTTCGCGTAGGTTTGAAAAAGATAAAATTAGCGTCGCCCTATGTAACGTCGGTGATGGACAGGACATGTGATGATTAGGTGGCAACACTTAAAAGAAGATTAAAAAATACAACGTTATATTTGGTAGAATTTTAGAATTATGATTTGAAATTAAAATTGTATTTTGAGTTTGAGAGTTTTAGAATTATAATTTGAGCGTGAAAAATTTGTTTGATTATGAGTTTTGAAAAGAATTTTGAATTGAGTGATGTGACATATGATATTTGATTCAAAAATTTACAACTCATAACCAATCACACAACCTAAAATTCTATTCAAAACTCATAAAAAAATTTAAAAAAATCCCCAAATATTTTTATTGAAAATATAAAAATAACAAGTACAAAAAAAAAAAAAAAAACGAACACTATTCTGACCAACCGACCAAACGTCTAGGTAAACGTGTTTTGAAAATAGGTGTGTAATCAATTTTTGAAAATTGTAAGCAAACACCACGTGCAAACCAAGAGGTGGAATTAAAGTTTCAAAACTCTACCAAACAAAGCCTAAGATTTTATACAAACCAAAAAAAAATGTAAAAGATAAATATGATTGCCTAACAATGACAAACTTGGGTGTATAGAAATTAAAAAGGGAAAATTACATGTACATGGGAGAAAGAAAAAAAAAATTATAAATACATAAGGGTACAAGTGTATTTGTGATGAGGCGCAAATAAAAAACTATAAGATGCAAACGTCACTTGCACCCCTCTATATATTGATAATTTTTTTTTTTCATTTTCCCACGTACATATAATTCTCCCAACCAAAAAAACCATTAATCTAATTTAGCTCATAATCCACAAAGGTTTTCTAAACTTTTTAATAGAAAGTGAATCGCAACGAATCAAATAATTATAAATGAATATTTTATTAACTTTTCTTTTTTGAGGCATTATAAATTGTCTTGACCTCAATTGTGAGAAACGCAAATTAAATTTAAAAATTATCTGTTGTTCTTAGAGTAACACTTATTGTGTCAATACTAACACCTAATTTTTCCAAAGTTGCGATAGAAATGCTATTACTTACTAGTTAGGCCTCGTTTAGGAACAGGTTAATTTAGTAACTTTTTGGTTATTTGGCTAAAAAAGTAGGCAAAAAAAACTTATATATTTAGGATGACTTTTTAGCTAATTACGAAAAGATGTGCAAAAAGTAGAGAGAAAAGAGAATCTTTGACTTTTTGATATGAGTTGTTGACTTTTTGACTAAAAAGATAACTTTTTGACTTTTTAGCTAAAAAGATAAGTCCCCAAACGGGGCCTTAGTTACTTACAAAAGAACACTTACCTTCCTTTTCCTTAAGATTAATATATTAACAAGTTAAACTAGCACAACAGAACATTTCACATTTCTTCATAAGGTCAACTCCAAACCTTCTTCTAGAAATCTATAATACAATCACTTGAATTACATTGTACACTAGTCTTGTTCTAGTTGTCAGGAGTTTTGTGTGAGAGTCGTTTCCAAGAAAAGTGTAACCAAAAAATAAAAAAATTTGTATTTGCTTTTCTCTGTGTTCATTTGTCAGAAAAATGAAAGTATATTGTCAAAATTCCTGTAAATTTTTGAATTTTTTGCAAGATAGATTTGCAGGAAAAACATATCATTTCTTGCTAAATGAACGTGAAAAAGTTATAAAAAAAAGTTGATTTTTCTATACTTTATTTTCCTAACAATTGAACCGAACCTAACATTAACGAATATTGAATTCCAGGATTATTGCCTAATGGAAACTTCGAATTAGGCCCAAAACCATCACAAATGAAAGGCACCAAAGTGATCGATCCCAAGGCGATACCCAACTGGGAACTTTCAGGCTTCATCGAATACATAAAATCGGGGCAAAAGCAAGGCGACATGTTACTAATAGTCCCCCAAGGAACATTTGCAGTGAGGCTAGGCAACGACGCATTGATAAAACAGAGAGCCAAAGTCACTAAAGGAACGTTCTATTCATTAACATTTAGCGCAGCTCGAACTTGCGCGCAAGAGGAGAAACTTAATGTGTCAGTGTCACCAAAATTAGAGCCAAAAGATTGGGGGATTTTGCCAATTCAAACCACGTATAGTAGTGATGGTTGGGACTCGTATTCGTGGGGCTTCTTGGCAGACTCTGATGAGATTGAAATTTTGATTCATAACCCGGCTGTGGAGAAAGAGGATGCGGCTTGTGGTCCGCTTATTGATTCGGTTGCTTTGAAGGTTTTGAATCCTCCTAAAAGAACTAGAGGTGATTTTTCTTTCTTACTCTTTTTCGATTTCCTTCGCCAAGACGGTGGTTATTCGATCCGCGAACGGCGTACCTGGAAAATTCATCAACAAAAGAACCAAAAACAAAACAATTAAGCCGTACCTGGAAAACTAATCGCTGCCTCTTCGATAGAGAAGAAAAGTGTGAAGAAAATGCCATTGGTCAGGTATAGAGGGAGAGGTAAGGCATTAGAGGCTTTTGGGATGGGGAGGAGGAGGATCGGATCTGACAGCAGATGTGTTTTAGCTAGACGTGGGAGAGAGAGCAAAGAGTTGTTTGGGCGGGAGATCTATTAATCTGTGCCTTTGAGATGAACTTAGGATTCATCTTGGCCGTTAAAACCAAATGTATCTCTGATACATTTGGGACATTTTCAAAAACAGTCCTCCTTTATTATATAGATTTAGATTTTCACATCATCTTTGATCTCAATTACTCGTAATCTGTTATCTTGAACAAACAATCTATCGACCATCATATCATCTTTGATCTTACTCACTCATAAACAATCACCTTAAAATTGAAGAGACAAAACATAATACATTGCTTCAACATGTTTCCAACCTCCAACTAGAATAGACTTCTTAATGTTTTATTGCTTGTGCCCAATACCCATTGGTCCCGAACTCAATATTAGACAATACAGTTCTTATTACTAAGACTTTAAAAAAGAATTGTCATATCTCAATCGAAATATTCAATTAACAAAATCTTTAACTTCTCGCTTTTATTCATAATTTACATGCGAACAAGATAATCGCATCTACAGATATAAACATTTGTGAGAGGTCAATAATTTCAATAAATTTTTTGTTGTTGTTGTTGTTGTGTGTATTTATTTTCAAAAATAATAAGTGATCCAAATTATGGAATAATTGCTTTCTGTTCTCTTTTTGAATACAGACCCAACATCTTAGATCCAAACCACATGCACCTGTATCCTTCTTGTTTTTACATTTGTTTTTTTCATGCTCAAAACATATATGGCTGCAGGTTGCCTGGGAATTGCAAATGGCTTCACCAACCAACTCACTCAAGATTTTCACAAAATAAATAAATAAATAATTAAATAAAATAAAATAAATAAATAAATTACACCTTTCTCCAATATATTATTTGATTTTTCATTTTTTTAATTGTAACAATTAATTAGTTTTCAAATTTTAATTTGTGTTTTAATATGATTTTCTCATCATTCTTTCTTAAAAATTTAGACGCCAAGCGCCCACCTGAAGATCAAAACATTTGAAAAAAATATATACTAAATTAAATTTTTTACCCTTAACTTTTCCTCAAATTCTATTTTAGTTCCTCATATTTTAATTTTTATTCAAATTCTAAACGGTGGGAAGTTAATTGTTGTAATTAGAAAATGTGGTTAAAATGAAAGTTGGTGGATATAAAATATAAATTTTATCCTAGAATTTCAAAAGTAGTTTGAAAAGTATTTAAAATTAAAAAATGTATTAAACAAATTTATTCTTGCACCATAAAAAAAATTAACACATTTTACATTTTTGAAACAACTGTTCTACAAATCGAAATTTTTAAAAAAATAATTCAATATGTGACTAAGATTTATTTTAAATTCCCGTTTGCCAGTTAATTTTTTGGCTACAAATCAAGACAGTAATAATACAAACACAAAAAATTTAATCAGAAATTACCTAGAAACATCAATATATGATTCAAATTCATTCTACCCATGATTTCACAACATATACTTTTAATCTTCTCCACACACTCATTCTTGACATAAATTTGGGATCCTAAGTTGGGTCCCTAGATTTATTGACATCAAAAAAATTAAAAAATTATTAAAAAGTCAAAAAATCAAAATATTACATCATACCCATCAACTAATTACTTATTTCCTCACAAAGTTAAAAAATAAAAGACACTAAAAAATTTAAATTACACTATCTAAGAACTAGACCATTCATCAATTTCTCAAAATTCTGAGCTTAATTTTGTTCCTTATCTTTTTCTTTCTGAAAACTTCAAAACAACCAAAATGTGATTGAAACTTTATTAATGTTAAATTTATACAGATGTGGCACAACAATAATCTTTCACTTTAAAATAAAATACTTATCAAATCTAAAAAAATAAAAATAAAACACTTATAAAAAAAAATGTTATTTTAAAATAAAACATTTGCAAAAAAATATTTATAATTACAACAATAACATTCTCACACCATCCCTCTTCCTTTTGAATTTTCAAAATTGAGTTTGGCCAAATATTTAAATTTGTGTATAGTAGTCGACCAGCTAATTGATCACTACGACAACCGGTGAAACATTTGTCTATCATGGATTGTCAATCTTTATTGACCGCAGCTGTCATCTAGTTTCCGAACAACAGACAAACCAAAATTTAGACCTTTCGAACAAACCAACATTCCGGCTATGTAGCATTGCTCTTTGAATTTATATATGTGAATATAGTTTTCCTAATGTTTTCCATATTGTCGCAGACAACATGTTAAAAAATGGAGATTTCGAAGAAGGTCCATACGTATTCCCCAACACATCCTGGGGAGTCCTAATCCCCCCCAACATCGAAGACGACCACTCCCCATTGCTCGGTTGGATAATCGAGTCCCTCAAAGCCGTCAAATACATCGACTCCGACCACTTCGCCGTCCCCCAAGGCAAACGCGCCGTCGAACTCATCGCCGGCAAAGAAAGCGCGATTGCCCAGATCGTCAAAACCATCCCAGGCAAAGTCTACGACCTCACTTTCTCAGTCGGCGATGCTAGCAACTCATGCGAGGGGTCGATGGTGGTGGAGGCTTTCGCCGGAAAAGTGACGGTTCAGGTGCCGTACGAGTCGAAGGGGAGAGGTGGGTTTAAGAGGGCTAGGGTTAGGTTCACGGCGGTGTCGAATCGAACCAGGGTTAGGTTTCTGAGCGTTTTTTATAATATGAAGAGTGATAACTCTGGTTCGCTTTGTGGGCCTGTGATAGATGATGTGAAGTTGCTTGGTGTTCGTTACCCACTACGTGTTTGATAAAAGTCCTACCTCGTAACTCAGGCATGTGAGTTTTAGATGTGTGTTTGTGTGTGTGGTTTTGTAGTAATTTTTTTTTTTAGTGGAAGGAAGAGGGTTTATGATTTGGGTTACAAAGTTCATTTATGTTTGTATAAGTCGTCCTGGCCTACTTTGGTAGGTTAAGTGAGAGATAAAAATTGGAGATTTTTATTTATTTTTTGTGTGAATTTATTAATTTCGTAAGTGTTATTCGGAAGATGATGATGTTGGTGACGAACTTTTGAATGACTGATTTGATGGAAACGTTTCAAGTCCTATTGTAATGTCGTTTTCATAAAGATAACATTTATTCTCACTAAATAGTGTGCATCGAATCATAATGGGATGTTTGGAAAGAAAAAAAATAGCTTAGTTTAGACTAAAAATTATAAAAAGATAAAATAGGTTAAAATAGCTAATAAGATAAAATATCATATCAAATTTATAATTATTTCACTTTTTCTCTCACAAATATCACATCCAACTACAAAAAATCCAATCATCTTTCCAAACACAAAAATTTTAACCTACTAAAATAATCAAAAACTAAAATAATCTACTAAAATAGTCACTTCCCAAACGAGACCAATGAGTCCATCTTCAAAATCAATATAGTCTTTCAATTTGCACAAACAACGATAAATCATAATCATTGTGTTTAATTTAAATTTTTAAAAATTAAATTTTTTGATTTGTGTATTTTTTTTTTTAGTACATATTTTTAAAATTTTAAATATTTTTTTTTTATTTTTTTAGATACACCTTACTTAGATATATTAAAAAGTAAAAAATTTATAAAAAAATATTTTAAAAAATTAATAAATACATAAAAATATAAAAAATTTACTAAAATTTTGTATTTTTTTTTTAATATTTTGATATTTCATGAATTTTTAAAAGATTTTTCTTACTGATGAACCTCAAGATTTGTGCTTCTCTACTGCCTATACTACTTGATGATGACATTTTTGCTAGGTAGAGTCACTTGCAACTGGACATAGAGAGGAAAGAGAGGGTAAAAAACCAACTTTCATGGGTAAGCTTTTACTTCTAACTCTAGAAACATTTTAGTCATTTACTTCGGAGAGAAAACCATCAGTTTATACCCAGTTGCACATTGTGCGCGTATAATGCACGGGCAATTATATTAGTTGGAAATGCCAACTGTAATCCATTAATCACAAGAAGATTATGTGGTGGCATACAAATGTTAGAGAGGTAATCCGCACTTGACTTAAACCACAAGAGGTAAATGAAGTTTGTTCAATTAAACAACCGGGCATAGTATATTTTACCAATAATTACCCTTTCTTTGGAGTCTAAAGCTCTCTTGTAGGATGCACATGATACAGCTAAGGAGTGTTTGGGAAATGGCTAAAATAGTTTTAAAAATTCAATGATTCATTATCATTTTCTTAACTTTTTGCATATTTATTCATAAAAAGTCAAAAAATCATTCTCAAACCCATCATTTTCTTTCACCTCATATTTTAGTCAAAAAAAAAAAAAATTTCAAAAAATCACTTAAAAAACCAATTTTCAAACCAACCCTAAATGCTTAGATTAAGTAGGCAAGCTTTAGTCACAAAGTTCATTTAGGTATGTATTTGCACAAATTACACATGTAGTATATGAGTCACATATGGGGGAAATTTAAATAACACTATTCTCACATGATGTATGTGTTTGGATCGTAAATTTAGATAAAGATCATTTCTCTTTTCATTTTCAAATTTCTATCTAAATCCATGATTTAAAAACAGTCTTAGAAAATACATATCTACGTAAGGATTACTGTTTGTTTGAAAAGATTCAGTTTAGGCTCTAGTTAGGTAAAACTTACACTGAATCACTATTCCAATTTTGTTATTCTCCATCGAGTAAGCTGTGTTTGGGTTATGAATTTGAGTAGAGGAAAGGAAAAAAAAAAAAAAAAGGTGGGGACAATGTGAATAAAATATAAGATAATTTTTTTATTTTTATTTTTTTTTTTTTAAATCCTTGTCCAAATTCATGATCTAAATATAGCATTAAGCTTGAAAATATGCATTTAACCTCTATTAGATATATGGTATTCAATGGAAACCTTATTGATGAAACTGAAAGCCCAACAGTGTCAGCCCTGATCATGAGGGGATAATTTATGAGTTTACATGCATAACAAATTGAGGAGTCCAACAATACCAACCTAATTGATTAGGACATAATTTAGGAGTGCATATCGGTAACACCATGACTTATTGTAGACACCCTATTTTTTATCGTCCTCAAGACTTGGAAGTCATCGTTTGTGTACTCGATGATTGTCCTTGTTTGTGTTCGTTTTGAGCGTCCGAAGTTCTCGGCGGAACGCCTTGTCTTTGAGCCTATAAACCTTATCTGTTTTGTACATGTTTTTTGGACTAAGAGATTGTTGCCTCTAGACTAGAGGAGTGGGTGACCTGTCGGCCAGCCCCCTAGGCTGTCGACCAGGGCTTGTTTTTGTCGGCTACCAGTGGTGGCCAGTCGACTATCAGTGGCGGCCGACGACCATTGGTCTCTTTTTTCAGATATTTGTTGACAGCTGTGCCAACTGTTGCTCACTGAGCTGCATCTTCATACATGTGTACGGTGAGATGTTCACAAGCTCAAGACTTGTTTTTCTATATATAGGGGGTGTCCTCCCCCATTTTTGAGGGTTAGAAAAATTAGAGCAAAAATATCTCTCTCTCTCTCTCTTTCTCTCTTGTTATTTTGTACACATTTGCACACGTGCCCTTAGCTTTTGCATATCAACCCTTAACCAAATACTCTCACCTTTAGGCTGAGATTACTTGGTTTGTTGCCTATTTTGTGCCTGATTTGTTGCCTATTTTGTGCCTTAGCTTTAAGAGATATAACACTTGTTATTTAAGCTTGTTTTCAATACTTGTTTTGTCATCTTTTCAAACTGTTTTTGGGCTGATTTTGAAGTGTAAAAAGATATGTTTTTGTGACCTAAAAATGGTGGTTTGAGGCTATTTTTGTGTCCACCCTTCTTGTCACTTTGCTTGTTAAGTTTTTGTACCCTTTTTTCATCACTTTTAAAACAACTTTTTTAGGCTTTTTAACCACTGAATCTCAAAGATTTTTTAGTGGTAAATATAAATTTTTGAATTCCAAAATTTGGAGGGGTTAGCCTCCCCTCCATGTGTCTCGTTTGAATGCCTAGTTAGCTTCATGTGTTAGCATGTTTTTCTAGCTTAACTTAGCTCTAGTTTAGCATGTTTTTGCCTCTAAAATAACCTATTTTGGGCTGTTTAGTTCAGTTGAGGCTTGTATTGCATAGTTGTAGTGTTAATTCCTTCACTAGCTTGATGTTTTAATGCTTTAATCATCATTCTTTTGAGTTAATAGCATGTTTTAGTGTTGTTTTACACTTCATTTTAGCACTTAAAATCCCTACAACCTCCCTCAATTCTTCACTTTTTTGTTTGCTTTGAAAGTGATTTTAAATCCCTTGTTTGCCGAAGTGTGATGGAGGTGTTGCACCTAATGGTTTAATCCCTTAGGGGGTTCATTATCGATAGTGTAATGCATCTTTCATGCCTAAAGCAACTCGTTGTTTGAGCCATCTTTCTATTAGAGGACACTCACTAATGGACTTAATCGATTAAAGAATGAATCGGTAATGTAAAATGAGTAAACAAAATGAACAAGTAAAAGAGGCAAGATAAGTATCTTTTGTGTAGCATTGCATGTGTTTGAATCAGACGTTAATTCAAATACAAGGAAAATGGGACATTTCATACTCAAAAGTGATGAAATGTGCCATTTTCCTTAGTCTCCATTGCCCTTGATCATGCATGATAGGGTGATGGTCTTTTTGAGTCTTGTTTTGCACTCATTAAACTTGTACAAACTTGGTTCTTTGGCTATCATACATGGAAATTGCTTGATTGGTGGTTTGAGAGCCAAGAGTTTCACTCATTTGAGTTTGTTTGACGATAAGGGGTGTAAACAGTACACACAAACCTGTGAGAATACACTATTTTGCTCGTCTGCTCTCTGTTGCAGCAAAGAGAGGAGTTCATGTCATCAGTGGCCGACCGGCCACCATTGGTAGTCGGTATGCCCCCTGTCGGCCGCCAATGAAAATTGCACAGTGTGTTGGTAAGTTGAAGTGGAGGTGTTCTGGAAGTAAGCAGCCTTTTTAGTGTTCAAATGTGTAAACAAAGGCTCGTAGCAGCAAAATGGTGGCTTTTCGGGTGGAGAACCGGAGTATGCATGCATCCCTCGTTTCCTGAGGTTGTTTAATTAACTTGCCTAGATAATTAGTTGTAGCTAATTCTTGCAAGTGATGTAATTATTCAAGTAGATTAGCTAGTTAATTCATGTTGTAATTAATTAGATTAATTGTTTTGTAATTAATTGGTTAAGTGTTTAGCTAATTAATTTGATTTGTAATATTTAATTAAGCTTAGAATAGTTAGTTAATTCATATTGTGTTGTAATAATTAGCTTAATTAGCGTAACTAGTTAACTTATTCATACGGACCCTCCTTCGTGAGGGCGTGATGTTATAATAAGTGTGCGTGCGTGTGCATGTCTTCCAACCTCGCGTTTTTCTCCCTTTTATTTAATTGCTTTTGATGGTTAGATTAGGGACATTTTCAATTGGCATACCTTATGCTTGCATGTTTGCATCCATTCATTTGTCTTGTATGCACCGAGGCTCTGTGCATCATTTAGACTGCATTGTCATTTCAATACTTCTTTGAATTCGTGTTTCAAAGCATGCTATCAAAGTATTGCATATGCCATGATTAAATAGCCGAGCCTATTTAGTTGCATTATTGCATGTGTTGCATTAGTCATTTAACATAGTTAGGAATCATGCATTTTTCTAACTTTGTTTTCTTTCCTAACTTGGAGTACTGGGTGAGTTTTATGCTTTAGCATACTTGTATGAATGTGTATGTTGCCATGCTTAGCATGCTTGCCATGAGGCTATGTGCTTAAATGCTAAATTGCATGAATGCCTGTAGATGAAGGCTTGTTGTTTGAATTGGAACAATTCAACAAATATGCGGTTTAAGCCCACTTTGTTGAGTGGCAAATCATGTTTTATGCCCACTATGTTTGGTGGCAAAACCGCATCTTTAAGCCCACTTGAGGTGGCAAATTCAAACCATTTTCGCAAACAAACATGACTTGAAATGTTCTAATTCTTGCGATTTAGTCCATACTTGTATGTGT